GCCGCTGCTGCGATTCGTATCTCCCAGATACACACGCACTTCCGCTGCCGCCGAACCCATAAATTATCTGCACTACTTTTCCACATTTTGATGGGTGGAAGTGGACGAGGGGGGGGGGTTTCTCCTCCTTTCGGGGCTGCGATTTCAAATCCCTAACTCGCTGAAAGTTCCGCAACCTTTAGACCCTTCATTTGTCCGCTGACCAACGCCTCGATCGGATCTTGTAGCTTTTGTAGCCGTGATCTTGACCAAAATCGAGTCCAGTTTACCGCCGGCATTCGCGATCTTCGCAGCGCGCTCTTTTGCCTTTGTTTCTCGTTTCGTTCGTTTCTCGTGTGTTTTTTGCTGATCTGGAGCAAATTGGTTTTTGGCGGTTAATAAATTTTCAAATTAATTGACTAATTGCATACCTACAGCGAAGCGAACGGAATTTCGGGCAAGCCGAAGTGAACCGAAAGTCCACGAAAAAGATACGGATGTAAATTCCACGATAAGACAGGTGCCCGGATATTTGAATTCAGTGGCTCATCGCGAGCAAATATCGCTTTGGTTACAACTCCCCAAAGAGGTGGTTCCATCTACAATCTATCTGTTTTTCCAACACCAACCGTTCATTAACTCTGGCCCGGTAAACAAACTGCTATTCGAAACTGTGGTCACTTTGGATCCAAGATACACACGATTTAATGACACAATGATATGGTAAATTACGCCACTGCAAATGGCATTTTCCGTGGACTGCAATCAAAGCAGCTAAAAGGAGTCTAAAGTGTTTTGTGCTATTTAAAGAGTGCTTATTGACTTTAGAAGTGAATACACGGTGCTCTGTGGGTTTTTATAAATGTTTACATTAGCTGGAGGTTTATTAGTGAGTTCTGTTTGGTAAGCTATTAAAAATAAGATGGTCTGTTAGTGGAACTAAACAAAAGATTAAAAAAAGTAATTTGATAATTCTGCCTAAGAATATTTAAATCTTTCTCATGTTTACATAGTCAGCTTAATCGAAGTTGTATATATTTTTTTTTTAATTCCTAATACCTCAGTTTTATTCGGAATAATCAGCACACGCTTTGCCACCTCGTTCGAATCTCCCCGAAGTGTTCATTACGGCAATGAAGCCGAAATTACTAATTCATTAATTGAAACCTGCCCGGGAACACTCAGTCCGGTTCTGACCGGGCCAGATGTCCTTCCATTGGCTCGCAGGCGACACATGCCGGGACGTCCTTGCCACCCCCTTTTCGTCCTGCAGATGCTGCAAATGCCAACGGTAAAAACGAAAGTGCCCTGTTGCCATTTTATGAACTGTTTCTGCTCCGTTGGAGAGCGTACAACACTTACACTTGCCGCACACAAAGTGCTCCCCAGTTAATAATTGCGAAGTGTGTAAAATCAAATTGCTGGCACGTTGCGAATGTCGTACACATGTGCGTTGGCCTAATTTGAAAGTGATTTGAAGCCCATCAAGTTAATGGATGAATTCTTCTTCGAGCTTCGCTTCTCGAATAATTTATGCATAAGCGTGATGCGACAGTTTTTTGACTTTCGTTTTGCCTTTAGCATATGTGGAATTTTTGCACTTTGGCCATTCCTTTATTGTCTTTTTTTGGGAGTGCTTGGACGGACATTTGTCCGTATTGCAGGTGCTGTCGTTTGTTTGTCTGGACTCGGTCTCTTTCTCTTTTTAACATCTCTCCCTTTCTGGTTTCGGCTTTCTCTGGCTTTGCTGGTTGTTATGGTTGTTATTGTGTAATGTCTATGAATATGAATTATGGAAATTGCAGAGCCACAACGACAAGGACAACGACCAGCGAACAAGGCCCTGAGTATTCACAATACTCACAGTCGCATTTGGCACAAGCATTTTTTGCCGCTCGTTTTTTGTCATTCGCCTGCAAATTTTAAAACTCCCCTGGGAGGATTTTTTTGTTTACTTTTGGGGGCGGTGTTTCCGAATATTTGCAGGCGATTTTTGAGGTCATTGGAACAGTGACCGAGTTTGGCTACTGTTTGTCTTCGATCTGTTTAAAGGGATGTTTGAAAGTCACTTTGAAAAATCGGAAGTCAATCTTCATTAAAAAAAAGCATTCAAAAAATCACTGGTTTTAGTTATTGATTATTATAAACTCCGTTAAAAATCTGAAATCTAATATCCTAATAGTTTATTTCACCAAATCGACAAAACTCCCCCAGTCTACTCCTATTAAAATCGCATAAATTCAATTAAAAGTGAACACCAACTACGTGGTTTTGAAAACCATTCGAGCATACGAAAAAAGGATATCTCGATCTCGCCCCCGATTGGCCACGCCCACTGCGTCGGACATCCGCCGCTGACATTTACATTTAATGCTTGCAAATTTAACAAATAATATTCAATTAACAATTTGAATATGAATTTATTACAGGGGAGCCGGCCGACGGAGGCCGGACCGCGCGTCCAAAGTGGTAACAACTTCGACATCGCCAATCGACATGTGAGGGGAGGGTTTTAGCGGGAAGTAACGAGTTGGCCAAGTGGCCGACTTGTTTACCCTGCCACCAGCAAACACACAAAAAAGCACCAGCAGCAGCAGCACACAGAAAACAAAACAAAGCCAAGGAGACGAAGAGGGAAAGGGAGTGGAAGAGGGAGAGGGGAGGAGAAAAAGTTATGTGAAAAAGGTGGGAAAATGCAAGCATTGTTAGCCTTTTGGCCAGGCTAAAAGGTAACGAAGCATGCAGCCACTGACGGACGGACAAACGGACGGACAAGCGAGCGGACGGACAGCCAGACGGACATTCAGATGGAGGAAGCCGCGCAGGAAGCGCAAGGAGCATAGCACAACTCCTGGCAGGCCACACATTTCAATAATTATTAACTGCAACATGCTACATGCAACATGGCCACATGCAACCTGCAACGCGCCGCACAGTAGCAACACCAACACACAAACAGGCAAACACACACACATTTAGTAACTAGGGGGGACCCGCAATTATCAAAACTTGTCCAAATTGACATTTTTTCCGGCCAGCCAGGTGGAACCACCGATGGAGTCGGGGGCGTCAGCCCGTTGGCCATTGCATTTTGGCACGTTGCGGATTTTGAAATGCAAACACGGCATTTAATTCTATTAAGGCCGCTATTTAATTATCTCTTGGGGGCACGGACCGAAAACGCAGCTTTCAATGTCAGCGAAGCCGGAAGAGAGTGGTTTCACCGCTCTGGGATGCTCTAAAGACCCCTCCCACCAAACAGCCAGTGCCCCTTAAGTGCTGGCCATAATCCACAGCCAGGAGCAGCTTATCGCGGCTTATCTGCAAGTGCCAAAAGTGATGCCACACCGGGAAAATTTCTATCTCTTCAAGTGCATCATTTAGGTGAAATTTGTATCTCTTTAAAGTAAAATAATCACCTTAATTTAGCATTGAAGTATTTATAAGTTCACTGTTTAAGCCGAGGTTTTGTTGTATAAACAGATGAAAAAACCAGATTTTATTTTCAAATTTAATAATCTATTAATCTAATAGAGACTAAAAATATCTTCTAAGAAGAAAAATTAAATCTGAGTTAGAATTCTACTTTCAATATCTATAGTTAAAGTTTTCAAATCCTTTTTTTCAAATGAACAATCCCTACAAAACAAACCACGTTTCTCCGCCTGCACGTGGATCGTGGATCTGGAATCTGGGATAGCTGATCGCAGATCCCCAAGTAGCTGCCCACTTGTTGCGCCTGTGCCAACATTTAGCTACCGATTTGCACGAGATTATCAATTGAATATAAATAATAAGTGGGAGCGAAGTAGCTGACTGGGGAGCATCTGGGTGGCTCAGCTTCGCTGATGGCCCGGCAATTTTTCGCCCCAATGCACCGGCAACAATGTATGTAATTTGAGTGCCCTGCCCCGCAAAAACAAAAAAAAAAAAAAAAAAAAAGACAGAGTTTAAGACCCGCGCTGATCAGAGGAGTCCCCTCTACCCCCAAAAGTCCCCTGCTTTTTCCTTGTTCACGTGTGTAATTGGATTTTAAGAAGTAGCTGCGCGAGACAAGACTGATTGATAACCTCGCATCAAAAGGTCCCAAACAACAGGCTGAAATAAACGCCTTCAGTGGCTCTGGGGCTTTGATGTTCGCCTTCGCCAGCGAATATCGTAAGCGATTTTTAAAACAGACGAATAGGTAATGCACTTAACCCATTGCAAAAAATATATATAATATAGGAATAAAGAATTTTTAAGCTTAGAATAATATATTAGCATCTTCTCAGGAAAATCTTGTAAAGGCAAGCTTTTCAGCTTAGTATTCTTCTTGCTAAAACCTCTATAATGAAAATTCCTGCACATTTTCCAAGGAAAGAGCATTCAAATGTCACATGCTTCATTTTTATGTTCATTCACCGCCTAAATGTGCATAATTAAACATAAAAAAAGGTATTTAAAATTCATATTTTTATCTAAAAAGCGTTTTATTAATGGCATTCGCACCCGAAGTGCAGGGTATGTTTAGAAAACACGCAATTCGGCTGCTTGATCGGCAGCGGGAAAAGGCCGATAGCACGAGGTTCGAGATATGGAAAAGGGAGCCGCTCGAAACGAGGCGTCCAACTGGGCCCAGATCCAGATCCCCTCCCCTTTTCCCCTTGCCCTCCCCCTCCCCATTAACCGTGCATGTTGGCCGCGTTTGTTGGCCAATTGAATTGCCATGTTTAATATTAATTGCCAGCGGAGCAAGCAGCTCGAACATGGCGAGCTCTTTCGACTGGAGCGTAATCATGGGACAGGGAATCAATCATTTCCACACGCGGCCCCCAGGTTTTCCCGGCCCACCCACTGCACCGCCCCACCGAGTTCATAAATTTAGCCACCTAAAAGGAAGTATTCTAGGGTACTAAGCCACCGACACCGCAACTTGATTAGTTCTCTACTGGTTGTTAGTGCAGACCCGATCTATACTCTATTTTTTCGGAAACTTAAGAGCGAATAATGTAACGAAATAAAAGTGGAAATTTTCTTACCCATGTCTGTTGATATGCCGCCGTATTGTGTTAAATCAGATCTTATCTTACCTGAAAATGCAAGCAAAGCGGAGAGGAGAAAACGTTTAAAAAATGTGGAATCAAAATTGTTTGCTCTCGAGAGATCTCGAGATGCAGATGGATGGTGTTTGGAAATGGGGGGCTTTGTGGGGAACTGGGGGCATCTTAGGGTTAAGCAGCCGCACGTGTTGCGGAGCTGGTTTAGATTTGCTAGCCAAAGCTTTGTTGTTCTCGGTAGTTGTTGGTTGGATAATGGATTTTGAATAGGCAAAGGTGGGAAGGTGCAAAAACATAAATGATAATTTGCAGTAATCGGAGGAGATTTGGATCAAAGTTGTAGTTAGGAAAGAACATTAAAATAAATGGTTTATAGAAAACCAACTAAATGAGACATCGCCAAATGGTATTATTATTTAAATATTTCGATTAAATTAATTATTTTCATAAAAAAATACATACAAATTCGAATTGTATTTATACTTTAATTTGTATAGTTCTTATTTATTGAATTTGCATATTTATAATACTTTGTACCATATCTGTAACATATTTAAGTCATTCCCTTATTCGCAATTATTTCTCTAATAAGCTTTGAATGCCCACAAATCAAATTCAGGAAGTCTGTTCTTCCTGTTCTAAGCCACTCAAAGCACTCCATAGCTCTTGATAATTCGTCTGGTATTGAAACTTCTTGTTATGATTGAAAGTATTTATCAGTGGCGGATCCAGAGACGATTCTTGGGGGGGAAATTTAACTTATTCTTCGATTTGAGGTTCAAACCTATTATTGCGAGAGAAATACAGTAGGGGAAAGTGGGGAATCGTGGGCCATGGGGAAACGTGAGCCACCGCCACCTGTCGGCAGTATTTTGAGATAAATAGTGAAATGCACCTGTCATCGTTTTCTTTTAACCTGAAATCATTTTTAGATTGGTTGTTGACAAACGCACGCGTTTTATTCGCTTTGCACAATACTTGCCCAAAAAAAGTATCGGCAACACCTTTTTGTGTGTTTTATTTCCATCATTTTTGGACGAATTGCTACGACAAAACACAGCTAAATATGTTTCACATTATCGTTAGACCTTTCCTTTTCAACATACAAAAGTAATTTTGCATGACACTTCAACAAGTCAATTACACGCCGTTATTTTGCAAAAAGTAGCTTGTGGGGAATCGTGAGCCACTTTTGGTGGGGAATCGTGGGCCACCCGTGTTTTTAAATTTTTTGTTATCAATCACATTGGTATGTTGTGTTTATGATGTTTTGTGCAAAATGGAGGCTGTAAATCAATAAATAAAACAATAAATAAATATTATGTATTAAATTTTCCTATTTCTTTGTTAGTTTTCGGCAATAATGCCACGATATTATGGAAAATATGATAATTGCGTATCAGATTGATTGTGCATAATCCTTCTCCATTTTCTCGATTAAAATAACTGTACTTGTCATTTCTACTAATTGAATAAAGTTTTGCATCATAATTGTTTGATTTTCATTAAAATACGGGGGTGGCCCACGATTCCCCACCATTTTTGAAAATCGTCAAAACACCATTTTTTTAAAAACCACGAAAAGTCGGAAAAAACAAAAGAATTGTAAGGAAGTGTAATAGTCAAAAGTTACCTAATTTAATGTAGAATAACATACCATATTACAATTTTGGAAAAAAAAATTTATTTGTTAAGATATTTAACAAAATATAAACGTGGCCCACGATTCCCCACCTTCCCCTACAAATTATAAAACAAAAATTATCCATCCCAATTTTTTGGAAAACAAAGTGGTGATATTTGAAAAGTCAACCATAGCAAACAAGTAAAATTTTCAGGTTCTGTGGTTCCAAGGGGGGGGAAATTTCCCTAATTTCCCCCCCGTGGATCCGCCACTGTATTTATGATACTGGTACAAAGTATCATAAATACTTTCTGTTACTATCTGTAAAATATTTTAGTCATCCCCTTATTCGCAATTATTTCTCTAATCAGTTTCGAATGCTCACAAATTAAATTCAGGAAGTCTGTTCTTACTGTTCTAAGCCACTCAAAGCACTTCATAGCTCTTGATAATTCGTCTGGCACTACGAGAGGCGTTCAAAGTTTGAACTAGCGCTATCAATCCCATTTAGACTGATTCATGGACACGGATTATCGCCTCTTTCTATCGCGTTTGCTGGATGTCTCGCCTTTTTTCACAATATTTAGCGTCGCCTCAGCTTTGTTTATGCCATGAAAGTGCAAAATGTAAACAATCCGAAATGCCAGCGCCTCGAAAAGTGGGCGTTAAAGGGGGGAGGGGGCGTGGCGGGGCGGTGAGCTTGCCGTGGAAAAGGTAAAAGTATAAAAATATGATTTAATGGCAGCGATAAAACACGTGTGTATTTAAATATGCGCGCCTGGCGCCTGAGTAAACGTAATTTCCAGCTCACAGACACACACACAGAAGCCGAGTGCGGCACACAGATACTATTTGGCCATCCAGACATCCAGCAAAGAAACAACAAAGAAAATATTAAATTAAAAAGAACAAGAAGACGGCCAAAAACTATGAGGGGCAAAGGGCTTAAATATGACAAACGCTCGCTTCTCCTCTCTGTTATTTTTCTTTTGTAAATAAAAATTATGAAAGAAGAAAAGAGCGGAGAACGATGAAAAAAAAACGCGGAGGGAAAGAGGCCAGCCACTTTAGACAAATTCAAACAAATGGCTGGAAAAAAGGGGGGATGCTGAATGCTGTTTACATGCGACGCGACTTGTAAAAATTAAACATTTAGTTTGCGGTCTTGCGCCCCCCTGGAAAACTCAACCCTCGCCCGCGTCGATTTTCACACCTTTTCCGCGGGGGAAAATGATTTTTATGACTCTTTAAGGCGGCGCACGCTTCGTTTTTGTGGGAGGATTAGTCGCCAGCCGCATAAATGAGAGAGAGAGAGTCTGGATTCTCCGGGAGAATGAGAAACGAGAGCATTTTCCGGCTGCAGTCTGCGGCGTCTTTGGCCTTTTATTGCCCCATCAAAGGGGCTGATATAAATCTTAATTGCCGACCCAAATAAATAGACGTTCAGAGCATGTGGCGCATAGAATACGAAATACAGAACTTTGAACAGACCATCAGCCAAACTCAACTCGACAGAATGCATCTTCACTTTCGAGTGGAAAACTCGTTAGCTATTTAGCATAAACACTTTCCCAGTTTTGACCAGCAAACTGATAACAACTGGACGGCAGCAACAACAACGAGAAGTTGCAGCCAGAAGAAGTCATTAAGGAAACATTAAATTGACATTAATGTGGCCCCCAAAAAGGAGGCAAAGGATTCTGTAGGAGGAGCCCGACATTTCTGACCAAACTTCGCTCAGATAAATCAAAATAGTAATCTATAAATTATAGTGTGGAAGCAAATGTTTGGGGAATGCGGCGAACAAATCGATGACCCAACAACGAAAAAATATATTCCGAGCTGCTATAACAGTTACCCACATTTTGGTCAAGGCAGATCTCGTAAATCATGGAGAGCTGCAAAACAGGCTCTCGAAGAGGGTATCAACGAATCTGAAATTCCCTCATTTCAACCAAAGTGTGGGTAGTGCAAACTAGTTTCGAAGAAATGGGGTTTTTTCCAAACGAAACACTGCTTAACCCATTCATATAAAATATGCTGTAAAATTTTGAATGGCGTGAAGCGGCGAAAGAAATGAGCCTAATGATCTTCAAGCTTGAGAACATGTAGCATTGGAACATGTGTCTACACAAGAAAAAAATATTATAAAATATAAAAAAAATAAAAGTTGTTGATTGAATAAAAGATATTTAATTGCCTTGCTTTTTTGCAATATTTTTTTATGAATTTACGAACTATCAAACCAAGAGGTTTGTTTTCTATAAATCGGAAACTTACTTTACAAATATTTTGTATTATAAATATTTCTCTGTGCAGTTCTATTGGCAAAGCCACCTGAAGCCAGCCGACTGGACAATTGTGAACCCATTAATCTTTGTCTTTTTAGTCTTCGAGATTTCTATCTTAATTGAAGCTCATTATAATATGCGTTTCCTACGATGCGGCGTGTTTGTTTTTGTTTGCTGGTAGCCCAACTTCTGTTACACAACCCGAAGACAAGCGATATTCAAACGAGATGGAGATGGGGACTTAAATGGTGGGCAGCTTTTGCACTCGGACTGGGACTCGGAGAACTTGGATTGGAACTGGGATCTGGGCTTCGTGGGGGGATCAGATCGCAATCAGGCCAGGCCGTCCGATCCCCAATACGAAATCCCGGCAAGAGGCCACCACCAATGAATTATTAATAATAAATAAATCATTATTAAAATCAAAATAATACGCAAATATGCATATTATCGGAAACAACAAGGAATCGGGGGGCCAAGTTTGGACGAGAGTGTGTGTGTTTCTTTTCATGTTTACGCCACTTTCCCATACAGACACACAAGTGGTTATAATGAATGATTTGTTGTTTTATAATAAACACGCCGAGCGTCGAGCGGCAATGTTGTTGGTTGTTGGCTGTTGGCTGTTGGCGTCTTCCAAGTGGCGATATGGCTATGACGTAGCCACCAAAGGGTTAAAGGGAGAGAACAGGGCACAAAGCCTTATGTTTTGGTCACTAACGTCGGCTATATGTTCCCATACTCCCCGTATATATCCTCGTATTCATATTCACGACCCTTGTCCCTTTTGGCATGGCTGCATTTCATACGTGTGTGTGTGTGTGTTGGCCGAACCGTGTTGTTGTTTTTATTAGGTATCAAAAACACCTTAAAACATGATTTTGCAACTGCCAAGCGAAGACATCCGCACAGTGGGCCCACAAATATGAATAATAACTGCCTGTTCACATGGCATTCGTATGTTTAAAGATGATCGATAACAAAAACTGCCAATGTCACCATGCGGAATAAACCCACAGTACATACACTCTAATTGTTCCTTATCTGCGATCGGTTCTATATATTATGGGTTTTGTTTGCGTTCCTCAAATTATATATAAGAATACAACACCTAATCATTTTTTATTGCGGTCATTTAAGGGAGTGTTTTGAATTGAGATTAGCCGATTCTGAATAGCATTAATATATAATAATTTGTAATGACCTAGCGCCGTCATTTAAGCTAATAAGTTTTGTTTATTAGGTGTTGATATTGACCTTCACAAATAAATTAAAATATTGATTTATTTTCATTTGATTACATGTTTTTATTTAAATTTAATAAATGGTAATCTTTAGGTGGCAGATTAATTTTTATAGTGAAAAAAAGCAAATAAATACTTTAACAACAAGAAACAATGTTGCATGGGCAACATTAAAAAGAAAATACTTTTTATGGGGTAACATTTTATAAAATTTCTACTTATAAAAAATTGTTTTTAAGTCGAATAAAAAAACAGTTCATATTCTTTTAACTTTTAGGCAAACTTTTCTTTAAAACATATATTTAACTGTACTCTTTTTAACCAAAAATACATTGTATTCGCCCATTGCAACTGCGCGGTTCTCGAGGAACACGAGGGAACAGCCAAAATTGCTCCTCGCCCTGCAGCTCCTTGGTTGTTCGGTGTGGTTGTTCTTGTTGCCGGGCCATGTGTCTGGGCCACTTTGTGTTGTCGTCGTTGGCGACGTCGACGTCTTGCAACTTTGGTCTCCTCGACCGGCAGTCGCAGTCGGGCAGTCCAACGACTTGAGGACCGCCAAGGTGCTTATTAAATTCCTTATTTAAAAATACATTAAAAAAATGCAAGAAGCTGCCCCAGAACCCGAAAACCAATCCCCGAAAAAGGCGATTCTCGCTCGATTCGAAGGGGAGATTTCCGGGACGGGGGAATCCCTAGCATCCGCCACAGAAACTGCGGAGCTCACAGGCGCTTTGATTTGTTTCTGATACTCTGATTTTGCATTCTGCTCCCCGCGAGAAAAAATGATTAAAAGCGCGCGTTGAAAGGCTTTCCTGTGTGCGTTCGCCTGCACTCGCCATTTACATAATCAGCGGCATCATCGACGCACTTCCTCTGGCAAATTAATTGCATGTTGCACTGGCGACTGTTGCCCGACATTTGAACTGCGGAATTCAGAATTTTGCAATTCGGAATGGCAACCCACAGCCTGTTAACCTTGAGGAAATATGACGTGCCAGCGCTGGTTCTACGTGTTTGCTACAATTGCAGTTGCAGGTAGATTTGGGCCAGGATAGAAGGATGCCAGGCATCCCGATAATTACGTCACAGCGTGAGAGTTCTTTGCCCGGCAACTGCGGCAAATATGAATTATGATTGCTGGATACGTGTCAATTGCCCGTTTGGCCGGCCATTCTCAAGGTCATTGTGGAACAAAAAAAAATAACAAGCCACAATAAAATCTATCTTCCAGGGTGGACTACATGCACAGAGAAAAATAAGTGTCAGATTTCTTTTTAGTTAAAATATACCATACATATTGAGTTAGTTTTTATGCAAAGAGGAGTTCTGAGGAGTTTTGAGGAAAGGAAAAATAAATTTTTTTTTTAAAGTTGTTTTTGAAAAAGGAAAGAACAGTTATTAGGTGTTTTGAAATAAATTAAATATAAATAACTTATTAAGCTGTTAGATATCTGAACAAGATTATAAGTCTTCTTTCTGATTTATTTAATTTTTTTAGTTTATATATAAAAATATAAAATAACCATATTTTGAAGTGAGTTAAATTTATTTGTATGCAAATAATAACAAATTCTTTCCTTTTCCCCCGAGTTCTGGTCGAAATTAGGCGTCGGACAAATTTGGGACAGCCGCAGAACTCGGCCATAAACCACTTCGCCGACGTGAACCTCACACACCGTGCCGGGCAAATAAAGCAAATTTACGAATTTATGTTGAAATTTATCGATAATGACTTAAAAGCCTTCAGGACAATGATTTAATGCTCCTCGCCCGCCGCTCGCCGTGTTCGCACATACAACACACACATTTGGACAAGAACAACCAACAACAACATAGCAACGCCAACAGAAAGCTGGTCAGAAAACTCTGATGTGGGTTTTTCAAATGTGAAGCCATGTTTAGATACGATAAAATTGAATTTGGCTTGCATTTCGGGGCCTCGGATCAGCGGCAAATGATCGATGATCGCTGGAAGTGTGCGCCGATTTATTTATGACTTGATTTTCCGTTGCGATCGGTCGATTTAATCAGTTCGCTCAGAGCAAATCACTTAAAATTAAATTATATTCGCATTTGTGTTCGGAGCAAATCAAACCAGCGATAGCAGTTGACAAATGGCAATCAAGCGGATTTGAGTTCATCGAGATTGAGATAAGAAATAATATATAAATTTAAAATCACGTAGATGCCATCAGCAGATAATCAAATTCCCAGCTCTCAAGTTCACAAAACTCAACTCACTTCGTGCGAATATCGTAAAAGGTAACTCATCTCGTTTTCTTATAAGAAACAAATTAAAAAGATGGTTTCGGCTAATCTTGTTTGACCATCTTCAGGTAAGAATTTATTAGAATTTCTTAGAGGGAATATTCCGCTTAAGATGTTATAACTCTGAGAGATTGTCCAACGAACTGGAAGTGTTATACGGGACACCCTGTACGAAGGGTTTTTGGCAGTGTTTTTTTTTCTTCTTGGCCTGGCCAATTCATCACCGACACTTCAGACGAGACAGCGCATAAATTTCATTACGCTGATCATCTCGCGGAATCGATTGAGTGGAGGGAAAACCTGTCGCAAGGCTCTCGAATTTAGCTCAACTTTAATTGTTTTTTAACCAGCTCTCGCGTTGGCTATAAGTGAAATTTGATTGATTTTTGAAGGGTATCCTTCACAAGATTCGAATTTTTTACACAAGCAAAAATAATATATATTTTGAACTACTTTTTTTAAATTCTTTGAAATATTAAACAAATAAACATATATTAACCAACTAAACGAAATACTTTTAGTATCCTCTAGCTCTCTAAAGTCTATCCCTTTTCTTTTTTCTCAGTGACCACTTTGAGTGCGATTTATGTTCGATCTTCGAGCACCTAGACCTCCTTCGGCTGACCTACTCTTGGCATTGTTCTTGGCCCAAACGGCAATCTCGGAGGCAAGCCGTTCGCCTTGCTCGGCTGGTGGCTTTAGTCCGTGGAAAAGTCGGGCGGCGAGGTGCTGAACGTAATTACATAATGGCGTAGTTAACCGTAATAAGCGCGACTTCTGCGCGCAGTGTGTGTCCTGAAAGGATTCTTGCCCCTTTCCCTTCTGCCAACTCCTGCTGCTCTTGCCACTTCTGCTGGCTGGCTGGCTGTTGCCATTCTGCAGCTCTTTCAGCCGCATGCCATAACTCACGCTGCTCGCCGCTCTCTTGTTGCACAAATTGCAGCTCACTTGGGCTGCCAGCGCTGCAACAATTACCGCCGAGCATCATTAAAAGCAAAGGTGACAAAAATTAGTAAACAAAGTGTTGAAAATTATGAGCCAGACGGAGCGCTGCAAGGTGTCGCGAAGCGGAGCAGGTGGAATTCGAGGGCCCAAAGCTGGTTTCGTTTACTTTTTTTCAGACTGCCCATGGCTCTAGTTTATGGCTCTGATCTCGCTTACAGTGATTAAATCGCTTAAATTGCCGGCTAGCATATAAACTATCGCCAGATTGGCAACCCGACTGGGTGGCTTTTAATAGAATAAGTGGAAAACAATTTGCAGTTCATTCAAAGTCATTTGGCCAAAAGGAATTCTGAAGAGCTCATTTCGAATGGGTTTATCAAGTGGGCAGTATGTTATATGAAACATTCTTAAAATTTTCCAATGAATGCGAACGTTTTTATTTTTAATTAATTAAGAAACAAGTTCTTGTATGTTTCATGCCAAATAAATCTTCAGTTATGCATGGGTTTTTTTTCTGTTGCAGGTTTCGATTTTGGCCAAGTTCAGTTCACACATAATAAATTACCAAAAAAATATATTAAATGAAATATAGAAAATTTATAATAATAATGAAAAAAATTACAAAAGTTATTTGAAAATTATTTTAGTAAAATTTGTAAAAACTGTTACATGTACTATTTTATTTTTATTATTATTTAACAAATTGTGTTTTTTTTAATCAAATTTATAATTACAAAATTTTTAGCTTAACACAACTTTTTCAAAGAAGTTTGAAATGTATAAATGATTTTTTTTTTCAGAAAGTAAGCTTGATTAAGTTACTTTTACGATTAGCTGTAATTTTTTTTAGCACTATTTGTTTAACTTGATTACATGGCTGTGGTTATCTGTTTTCGCTTCAATCGATTTGAGCTCTTCATTACCCTGCCGTTACATGTTGACTTTGTCTGTTAATCGGAGCAGAGTCGGCAATTAGTCACAAGATGACTTTTGTTGCCTCAACTGCAATCTGTTGAGCCCTGTTGAACAACTGGGAAAACAACAAAGCTTTTGGCTGCGAGGGAATGTTTGGGGAATATTTAGGGAAGGGGAAGGGATTCAAGGGACTTTAAGTGGACTTGTGCTGCAGTGGACACTCACTTTTGGTCGGATCTTCAGGACACTCACCTGCGATAGCCATCCAGGGGTAGAATGTGTGATTGCTGGCCTGGTGTAAACTGCTGGCGGCCGCCGTTTGGGCAGCGGCGGCGCCCGAAATTGTGCAATTGGCATTCCAGGCGGTGCCCGCTCCGGCCACGCCCACGCCGCTCTGAACGCCCCCGCCGTTGCCGTTGCCGCCACTGACGCTCACATTGCCGCCGGCACTGCCGCCGCGATGGCTAACGGGACTGCCGCCCGAGGTGTCCAGATAGCCACCCACTCGGGAATCTGGAGTGCAGGCGGAGGGACGAACGGGCATGCCGCCCGCCGGATTGTTCTGTCCATTTGCATTGGCCGCATTGCCGCCGTTGGCGTTTCCCGCGGCCCCAGCACCACCGCCGCCGCCTCCTCCACCGCCCCCGCCTCCACCACCACCGCCGCCATTCGAGCCGCCCGTGTTCCAGATGTCCTTGTAGCCGTTCACCGCATCCGCCTTGATGTTCAGGCAGTCCTGTTTGTAGGCGCCGGCCCCATCGCCGTAGATCTTATTGCAGGCGGCCGTGATGCTGGCATCGTATGGCGAGTCCTGGGTGGTGCGCTGCAGATGGTGGTTGGCATAGGGACTCATCCCGAGCGAGAGGGGGAATCCCCTGTAGGCCGCCGCCGCCGCACTGGCCGTCTGATCGTGGTGGCCGCCGCTGCCCATCGCCATTCCGGTGGCCTGGTGCGGATGGCCATAGAAGCCGGAGGCCTGCTCAAAGTACGAGTTCATTGCGCTGCTGGCGGTGAGAATCTTGGCGGTGCTCCGTCCGAGACGGGCTTCAAATCCTTTGGGTCTTGACTTGTTTCACTTGAGGATTTTTTCCTTGAGCTCTATAATTTTTGGCGGATTTTTAAATATTTTTTTTGCAGCTGTCTCTGATGGTCATTTGGTTGTAAATAATTATCAGTTTTAAATACGATTTGTATATTTCACAATGTCTTTAATCAATTTAAAATTTTTTAATTTTTGGTTTTAATTTTAATTAAATCTGTCTTCTTTTATTTTTTAATATCTTTGTAGATTTTGAATAGTTTCCTCTACGAACAAACTTCAAGATTTTCTTTTAGTTAAATGAACTTGTTGTTGTTCTTCTTAAATATTTATAAAATATTTATACAATTTTAAATTTTTATTTAGTAAATATTTTTTTAAAAAGTTATTTTTTTTTATTGCACTTTCCACTTCGGACCTTTATTTAGTTTAAGCACTAATGTTTGTTGAACAATAACTCCAATAAATATTTTAAAATATTTTCTCACTACTGTTTATAGTTTCACAAGTGTTTCGTATACTTTGTTGCGTTTTGGTTTCGGTGTTTTTAGCCAATTGCACTTTGCTGTTAATTGAATTCGAATTTGAATACTTGTTTTGCGCTTGCCTTGGCACTATCAAAGGCTCGTAAGCGTTACGATTATTACTATGTTTATTGTTATTGCAATTATTATTATTATTTTTATGGTTTTAACGATTTGAACGGTTATTAGCTTTAGCTTTAGTGCTGACCGAACGAACGGGCGCGATTTTCGCTGACGGATTTCCCTCGAATCGAAATCGGTGCGCCAATCTTCAAGTGGAAAGCGACTTTTCCGCGCGGCATTCACGAGCGGACGCGTGGGCGAGCGGTAAAGCGCTGAGGGCCAATAATAACAATAATGCCGCTGATAATGTGGATAATAAAACAAAGCGCGCGCCTGTTATCCAAACCGTTGCCATCGAACGAATGTGCCACCAAATCGCAGTTGCCAGTGTTTTGACTTTGCTCCGCACCGAACCACTCAGCCCGAAACCACTCCACTCGGCCCAAATCGAGTGGCTCTGAGCGCCAGCCAAAACAGAGAGCCACCAAACACCGCTGAGTGTGCTCAAACCAGCTCGCTCCGATGAATTCCCGCCGAGAGTTCATCTTCTTCTCGAGCGCTCTGCCTTCGAACTTGTTTGAGCGCTCGTGCGCTCTCTGCACTTTTCCCGGGGTTGCCTTCTCGCCTCTCGTTCATCATTCGCGTGGAGGGAAAACGAGCGAGCGCCGCGGGAAATTCATCATGGAGGAGGGCTGATTTTCCTATAGGCCAACTCACTCAACTGAGTGGCGAAAATCGCTCCTCGCAGTGACCGCCAGTTGCCAGTTGCACGGCGAGCGATGCACATCTCGCTTTTAGTTACTTTCACAGCATTTATGACCACAAATTTTGTCTCCTTTTCTTAATAGAAAAAAAGGGAATTTTAGTATTTGATTTTAAATTCGGAATTGGATTTTTTTCGAACAGAAAAAATATTTTATATAGAAGCAAAACAATGATAAAGCCGGTTTCACTGCCTTGCAAATATAAATGTTGTCCTAGAATTTATTTAGAAAAGAGCCAAATCAAAACATCCAAAACAATATATATTCTATAAAATATCAGAATAATTATAAATTTTAACTAAATAAACTGATATTAAAATAATAATGATATCAGCTTTAACATACTTAGAATATAATTATTGATACTTAACTTTTGAGTTAATACAAATGTTGTGAATAAAAAGTAATTTTCAAATTCAATTGTGCATTTATTTCTTAGAGACTGCATTATTCTTTCATTTATTGCAAATTTAAAAGGTAAACTGAAAATATCAAATTTTTGCAAACATTTTACTGATTTCATGAAATAGTTTGTTTATAAGAACTTTGTTTTTAGAATATTTTAATTTTATTTAATACATTTCTTGCTTTTTTGTTTCATTAAAAAAGTTGCACAAATATGTTAAATAAATAAAATAATGGTTTAGATATAAAACTTTAGTTTATGAAAGTGTAAACCTCTTCTTAAACTATAATTCAATCCGGGGGTCGGAAAATTTGTGTGCTGCGGTTTTCCTTTTCCTATTCGCATTCAAATTCAAATCCAAATGTTCAATCCGTTCGTTAATACTTTCAATGGGATATTAATGTCAATGTAAATATGGCTGCGAATTGATGCTAATAAATTCATATGCATAATGCAAATAGATCGGGGTCTTGCAGACCGAGAACGCCGAGCCATTCGCGAAAGTTTCGCAAATATTTGTCAAAGTTTCCACATTCGCACAAACGGCTCGTAGATTAAGCCAGAAACCGACGACGAACAAACAAAGTTGCTTGCCACAAGTGTTTGCAAAATAAACTTATTATGAGAAGAAATTTACTTTTCTACTTTTACACCCACTTTTCCAACCCCCAATCGCCTCTTGCGATTCGGTGCCAAGTCTGAAAAATCAACAACAAGCGAAAGATACAAAAAACTTGCACAAAACACAGATACACACACCATACAAACACACACACACACACACTCATTCGAATCGGAGACGCGGCGACATTTTCCAAATATGCGGCCAAAAGCCCAAGGAAAACCAAAGGCAAAATGCGAGAGGAGCAAAAGTAAAATCGCAGTCGCAACTGCAAACTAAATATCGTGAGTCGGGACCCAGAAACTCGGAATCCAGGACTCCAGGACTCCGGGACTCCGGGGAAAGGACGAGTGTGCGAGGAGGACTCGCGGGGATGACAGAGAAATAGCCTCATAACCATTTGAAGCCATTCGAAGGCGCATAAAAGGATCACAACAATCGCCGAAATGAGCCATAATGAGCTCGTAAAAATTTTGCTACCTAATATACTCGGGAATCTTACGGGTGCGAGTACGAGTATATTCAAACTTGCTACGTTATGGGGTATGCAATGGGGCAGCTCCCCTTCTTCGCTCCGCTTCCCTTCCTTTCGTTTCGCCTGCGTTCTGTGGCTCCTGCTCCTTTCCTGGGTTTCTGCTCCTGCAGGACCTCCTCCGCCTGCAGAAAGTTGGGAGCCCCCGAGTTTTGTTTGTGTTCGACATCGATGATTGTTTTTGCCTCCGCATTCTGCATTCTCGAGTTGGTCGAAATAATATAGGAGTGGTTGGAGTTGCGGTTTGGATTGGTTGTTGATTGATTAATTTAAGATTTCTTTTTAAGCAGCTAAATGTTTTGTAAAAAAATCATTTAGACAAAAAGCTAGGTTTTACTTTCAATTATTTTAAAAATTATTTAAACACCTGTGTACACTTTGAAAGGTAGAGAGCTATGGCTTCAGTTGAACGATAGATATGAAAAATCTTATATATTTGTAAGAATACAGTAAATTTATATTGCATACATTTTTTAAAGCTTATACCAAAGTGTTGCAATTGGATTTTCAAGTCATTTTGCAAATAACAATTTATTTGGAATGCTTCTACTAAAATCTGAAAAGTACCAATGTCGTTTAACATTTCATAATTAAGACTGTTGCTAGATTTTTATAAGCAAGAGAAATCCATGCAGCTTAACACAAAAACAGTTCTACAAGTACTTCAACTAAACTTAGGTAAGTAAGTACGAGTATTTAGAATATTGCCGTAGTGCTATAATATATTTCTTCCCCGCTAGATATGTAAACACGTTTCAACAATTGAATCCCCGTCTCCGCCCACAGAACCCAAAAAGGGAGGCTTCGATTGTCTTGGCGCAAAGTCGCAATGAGATTGTGCGATTCCCGATTCGCAATTCGATTCCCAGGCATTTGCATACAAAGCGATCTCATTTTCATATGGCCACCGCCCCCGCTTTTCTTGTCATCGGCGGCTTGTTGCGGCAATTTACGAGAGCTTCCGTTCGGCGAAAAGGGGAGTTTAATGGAAAGCTCACACCTGTCCAGGTTGCCCAACGTGCCCAACGTGCCCAAGTTGCCCAGTGGATATGGACAATGCTTAACGTGGCCAATTAGCCCCGAAGGCAACCGAATCCGTGGCCAAAACCAACTCCTCCTTCACACCAGCACCTTGATTGATGGCCTCCATTCGCCTTTTAAAACTGGCGCAGGGCAATTAGACAAGCGGTTAAATTGCCACCTTGGCAGCTCGCTGCTGCCTTCCCACCCGCTGTTTTATTGGCCACAATCGCTCAAATCGAGCGATGCCATCCGTGAGATAGGCGCACCCAATCTAATCATAGTCCAAAACAGATACGTAGGCCCCATCCCCCCCATGGAAAATTCTGGGGGAGCCACTTACGCAGCTAATAAAGCAGCAATTTGGCAGCTGGAAGCGCCGGCGCTGACGCCAGTCCAAAAACATCAAACGGCCAGTACCAGATACTCGCCGCCCCCTCCCCTTCCCCCCAACAGCCCCCTTTCCCCCTTCCCCTCATCTGAGATCAAAGTTGTGGGGCCCGGAGGTTTATTTACACAGAAACGTTCAACAAAATACTCGTACTCCTCGGTGCCTGGCCGCCTTCACTCGCCGTTTGTTTACGTGTTGTCTATAAAGATTTTGGCTCTTTCTTTCGGCGTTTTTCGGTTAGATGAGGCTCGGCACCTGTTAGATGGTACACTTGGAGAAAAAAAGGACTATCAGGTGATTTTAGTGCCAGCTAGTATTAAAATGCATATGGGAATTATTGAACTTACCAAGTATTTCCTGATTGAACTTCTGTTTAAGTCATTTTGTGATACATTACAAGTTGTTATATTGATTAAATTTACTTTTATAAAAAAATATATTTTTAAGCCAGAAAATATTTTAAAAAATATTTAGACAACAACTAATTAAAGGGACTCAAGTGTGAACTATTTCTAATACCTTTAAAATTAAATAAATCAATTTATTTAGTAACAGTATTTTAATTTGAAGTTTTGGTAATGATTTTAGGTGTTTGCCAGTTTGTTTTTTTGTGTAAAATGTGGGTGGTGTTGTGAAGGGCACTTTTCTCACCGCCCTACGGATTTATCACTTCAATAGTTCAGAATTTTCAAAGTCAATTCATTTCGTTGTCGGATTTCGATCTTTGATGAGACCGAAGCCAAGTGATTGTGAAGCACAATGGTGTCGACAAGTTGATGGGCCAACAAATGGCCAAATTTGATGCATTTGGTATTCAAATGTCTTTGTTGTCTTCATTGATTGGTTGTTTTTTGATGGCAACATTTTCATAGGTACAACTAATTAGTAACATGTTTTTAAGGTTTTATATCTTTACCTTAGTTGTTTTTAACATATTTTTAAATTAAAAAAAGTAATACTAATCGTATTAAAAAACAACTCATGTTAGATGTTTAAAACAGAATATTGTTTTGTATATTGGTTCTAAAATACTTGCTCAAAACTTTCCGCTTAGCTAGTCAATTGTTTATGCAAGGAAATATTTTAAAAACAAACCACTAAAGCCATTTGTGAAATTTAAAATAATGCCCCGCCTCCAGTGAAAAGATCACGTATAGAAAGACCTCCCACGCGAACGCTTTTCCGAAAAATTTAATGAAAAATGTAATCCACAAAAAAATGAGCCAGAAACAATGAGTGGACGAAGGAGCGAACTGAAATGAAACTACCGGGCGCACTTCCTCTGCAAATTTGAATGGCCCGGCTACAATGGCCATAATGTACGCATGGATTAACCAATTACATTGCAATTTTAATTTGCAGGCTGGCGAAATTTTATTGCGAAATTGGCGAGAGCGCAAAATGAAATCGGCGCGCCGCGAATATGGAACGCATTGATAAGGAAATCCTGAGGGCCATGCAGTCGGTGCTTTTTTTGGCCACCTTTTTTTCTCTTTTTTCGGTTGGCAGGGGGAGTGGCAGTGGGCGTGGAGTTGACCCGAAAGCAAAGGCCAGGCAAACAGAGAGCGAAAAAGGGCACAAACAGAATGCGCCGAATGCGAAATGCAATCCAACGGATTTAAGTTCTTTATTAACACTTA